CCCCCTTTCCTGTCTTTCTTTCTATTCTTTGTAAGAGCTTCTAAAATGTTCAGTAGTACCAGTGAACTCTATATTCTACTTCAATTTTAATTGCATTCATAGATAAAATCATGTAGGTCACAGTGCTTAAGAATATCTAAATACAAAACATAGCTAAGCAGCTATACAAAGAAAGCATATTGGAGCTGAATGGTTGTTTTTTGTTTACCTTATTTTGCATCACCTTCATATAGTGTCAGAATGTTGACACCTTGGTGAACAGGTTCAGTGAGACTGATCACAACTGGGATCTCTGCTAAGGATGATTTTAGCATGAAGAAGAACCATGTGAGCCACACATATAACTTGTGTATCTGGAAGTATCTGTGCATGTGTAATTCACACCAAAATAACCCTGTGAGGCTTCTAGCACTTTAAAAACGAGGTAGACGTTGAAAGTTGATTACAAAATGTGTTATGGAGAAGATGGTAATGATCTGTATAATATTCAGATAGACCATAGGAGAGAGGTTAAAAAGAAGGACGGATATGGAGAGGGCAGATGGAAGGTGGCAAAGATACTAAAGAAGATTTGTAGGTTGGATGATCAGATAAGAGAGCAATGACTGTAACAGGGGATGGAAAATAAAAATAAGATGGATGTAAATGGCCTGCATTTGTATAGCGCTTTACTCAGTCCCTAAGGACCCCAAAGCACTTCACACTACATTCAGTCATTCACCCATTCACACACACATTCACACATTCACACACTGGTGATGGCAAGCTACATTGTAGCCACAGCTGCTCTGGGGCGCACTGACAGAGGCGAGGCTGCCGGACACTTGTGCCACCAGGCCCTCTGACCACCACCAGTGGATGTCTTAGCTTCAACGAGCCACTAAATACTCAGGCTTGACAATTCCCCAATTATTTGACCTACTTTCTCAAATGGATTGGATGGATTATATGGAAATAATCCCCATTCAGGATCAGTGCTGTTTTGTTAGTTTAATGGAACATAGTTTCTCTTAAATGGGATTTATTTATTACGCATATTAGCAAGGATAATGGCAGATATCTCATAACCTTTGTGGATAAGCAGATTTCCTGTTATCCTTTAATCTTGTGTTTTTGTACTACAATAATGGCAAAGGTGAAATGAATCTCAACTGAAGTCTGATTTTGTGAGCCACACATGAACATAACTTGTCTGATGCTACGATTAAACATGACTGCTCCTGTTGGCTGCTGTTAGCCTGTAATGCCAGGCCTGCTTTATAATGACATTCCATTAAACTGAATCACTCCTGCTCACTGGCTCCCTCCTCATAGGAGGAATGTGGGTGGTGAGTTATCGAAGTTTCATGTATCTGGCATTTATACCATCTGGGTTAAAATGCCTGCCCTGGCTGCTTTTTCTGCTCATCTTCAGCTTTAAGATTCCTGTGTGCAGTATGTCTGGGTTCAACCTGAATTATCCACAACTGGATGTTCTTTTTTAAATAGGAAGTATGAAGGTCTCACGTTCTCATTTTTAATATCCTCGCAATATTTTTTCCACAAGTTCAATGAAAAAAAAAAAGAAGTGTCAAAGTGTATCTCTGCATGTCTCTTCTTTCCACATCTTCTCAAATTCTTTATCATAGTTATAACAAATGTTTTGCATACAGAAACTGCTACCTCAAACATATCCTTAAGTTTAATGACTGGTTTTTATTTTGCAGTCACGACATGAACTAAAGAATGTGAGATCAGATGATCTTCAGGTGCTCTCACCTCAGCGCATTTGGGGCAGTCCCAGTTAGCTCTCAAAGAAAAAACTCACGAGAAGCAGCACTAGTCTGAGATGTGGTATTCATCCAGATGGGTATCTGTGAAACTACACAGTTAGTCTAGATCCTCCGTTGTGTTTAAGGCACTTATTTTTTCTTTGTTTTTTTCTCGTTGACATTTCATATAGTTCCTCCCTTAATTTTAGTTTATGAGGCAGTGGAACTTGGATTTGACCTCAAGGTTTGTTGCCAGTGCAGCTGAGGTGTGAAATTAAAAATATGGATGTAATCAGGAAGATTTCATCTGAATATATCTCCGAATTTCTCTGGAGAACAAAAACAGAGTGAGTATGAGTTATCTAACTGAGCTAAGGAAAACATTTACAAGAGCTCCATTTGAAGGCTTGTGATAAGCTATGGAAGTGGCTCCATGGAAATACTGCAGGTGCTTCCTTACAGTAATTAGAGATGTTAAACTTGAGCCCGCTTATTTGCATTTGCCACTGGACGCAAGTATTACTCTAGAGTATATTCTACAAAATGCCGATTTGTGAAACTGAAGAAATGTAATCTATGCATAGACTCTGTTGCAAACAGTATCTGGTGCTTTCCATGTGTTTCTCCTCACCACTCTACTATGGTGAAAAACTACACAAACAGAAAACTCCAATTCCAAGAAGCTCATAAAATCTCATCTTGATTCAATCTTGCATCTCTCTTCATATGAATATGACTCACTGTTTGCATATTGGATAGACCTAGATGCTGCCCTACATTCATGCATTTGAGGATTTATGATCTGTAAGCAATCAGTCTGAATGATGGAAATCAGACCCGAGTCAAAACTTTTCTTCAACTAGACAACAGCTTTTAAACATATACTCCAACACACAAATGTGTTATTATAGAGACACAAACGTTTTTATTAAGGTATACTGCAGCTGGTTCTATATACAGACTGACTAATACGAATTCTGGTGACAGCACCATGTAAATTCAGTTATTTATTTAAAAAAAAAAAAAAAAAATCACATTCAAGTTCAATCCTGTACGTATTACAGGAAGGTGACTTGTCCCCTTTTTTTCTGTTTCTTACAGTTTTAACTGTTTCCTTACTCAAGATACCACGTAAAACAAAACTTGATCAACACTTCAGTGAAATGCCAACAATGACCTGACTTCCTATGACAGAAGAAGTGGCCATGGAAGGAATCTCTGAAATGAGAAAATTAGAACAAGGTCACGGGAAGATGTTGGAAAGAGGTAATGAATGTGTGACCCTGGCCAGGCAATTCAGTCACATGAAGACTGGTAGAGTTGTGGCTGAAAGGGGGGAAATAACAGCACAGTTCTGGGCCGACTGCCATTTAAGACAATGGGCCTCCTCAGAAATGGCACTTCCTTGAATTGTGCACACTTTCCATATCGTAAATGAAAATACAAGCCCCTCAGTGGTGTTTTTTCCATCATGGCCAACCTACCACTGACTTCCCAGAGAGTAACAGGTGATTCATCAGAGAGAGCAACATATGTCCTGTAGGAGTTAAAGTGAGCTGTATTTGGATTGCATACCGGTTCTCCTACAGCAGATAAATACTGTTCCTAAATATTTGTGTACACTGATCACGCTCTGCATACTGTAGCATTTAGTGTACAGCACATGTGTAGTGTGGAATAGTGACAACACCTTTACAGTATCTTCATCAGGAGTAATTCTGCATCCACAGGTACCTGAAACCATGCTGGAAGTTACATGAGGCCAAGACAATAAATCTAAAAGATCCTTTTCACACAGAAAAAGAATCACTGTAGTTGACAATTTATGGTAAGCAGCATTAATGATGCATTTAGTGACTCACTGTGATGATTTAACGTTTCAAAGATCAACCTGTAATTTTGAGAATGTGGTTGTACGAAGCTATTTTCACACATGAATTTCAGAAAATGTATTGTAATGCAGTTGGGATACAGCTTTAGAGCCACTCACACACACAAACTGAACACACTGATGTCTTATCTGACTGACTACAGAGAACATTTGCATGCACCTTTGACAAGTGCTGAGAAACAGGAGTGTGCGAAAGTCTTGAGCCACCCATGTCTACTTTATAATGTTGAGGTCCATGCTCATGGGGAGACCAACCCATGACTGAGAGTGTCCTATTGTGTGTTTTGCTGTCCAGATATGCTTTTACTGCATTTGCACTGTGTTAGGGATCATTGTCACACTGAAAAATGAACCTATTGTCAATCAGAGGCTTTCCAGTGAATGGTGGTGCAAACTCTGACTGTTCTTTTCTGTGTTCATAATCCCATCAATTTTGACAAGATCCCCAAACCACTCGTTAAAAACAGCACTAGACATTTACAAATAGCTGTAAGCACCATCTCCTGACCTCCTCCATACGTGTCATCAATGATTTGAACCAAAAGTTTAAAATTTGGATCGACCACTCCGAAGACCTGCTGCCACAAATTTTCAGTCCAGGTCAGTCATATAGACATACATTATCCTTTTCTCCCTGGTTCCCAGTTCAACAATATAAGCAGATGTTTAACAAGCTATATAGCTGATTTCCAACCCCCAGACTTTAAAACCAGTATAAAAGGAAGCATTTGGTGAGTAAATCTAATAAACATAACCTTAAAGATACATTTATGTCTACTACTGGTTAATGTAACACTGAACAACACACCCTGCTCTGCACCAGTCCAACATCACTGTCAGTGTCACCCTAACCAGTTTAGCCTTCACTAAGCTGTACCAAACTGCCTAGTACATTTTCCTGCATTCTTTAAATAACGTATAATTATCATACATCACATAGTTTCGTGGGTGGGGGGGATGTGTGTGTATGTATCCATGATCGTTTATGTTAATGAGAGTGTGGGGAGTGAGTTGGAGGGCGGGGTGGGGTGCTTTTAACCATGTAAAGCACTTTGTGCTACATTTCTGTATGAAAAGTGCTTTATAAATAAAGATTGATTGATTGATTGATTGGCATCCAAATAGAAGAAACAGCAGAACAATCAAAAGCTAAAGCTGTAACTATATTTGTAGAGATCCTATTAAGACCTTGAAAGGCAGGAATTTAACCATTTCAAGTAATTTTAGAAAAGCCTATTTTTAATACCACAAATAAACTAATAAGGAGCTATTTGTAACACGTTCTTGCCTTGATATAAGTATGAAAATACTATGATATAACCTTGCTGCCTGACAATAAAACAAGAGAGTATATGCCATTTGTAGACAAAGATGGAGGAATTTACTTTTAATGTCTCATTGAAAGCACAAATTTAATTCATCAAAACTTCTAATTTAGCTACAGACTGCAAGTTTGATATTACATTGATTGTTTACTTTCAACCAGCCTCAAATCTGGCTAACACTGACAGTAACATTGCTGCATGGAAAGGGAATGTCAGTAGTTTTTATATAAAGTAGTAAAAAGGTGGCAAACAACAACAACAAAAGAAACAAAAACCCAGCAATAGGTTAGTGGTCACAAGTTTAACAAGAAAAAAATCTCATCTGTAAATAATAACAGTGCAAGAAAAGCAAACAAGAAATTTAAGGCTGGAAAAAAGTGGAAACTCCTTTTTTTAAAACTATCTGAGACTACAAGATATATCAGTGCTGCGATCTTTCTGGACTTACAATAAGTACCTGAATTCAAACGGTTTCACTGTTAGAGTAGATCTCCATACTACAGAGATCAGGCACTATTTCTGTTAAAAGAACCATAACAGACTGTTGTAGCTGTACCAGTGTTCTCTCTGTACGATTCCTGGTTTCGCAAGTGATCATGAAGAAGATGAAGGACTTGTCTTGGCCCTTTAAGCCATGATTTTCTTCTTGCACTCCACAGAGCAGAACAGGAAGTTCTTCACTGCCATGAAGCGCTGGCCAATCAGGCATTTGGAGCAGCCGGAGCACTTGAAGCACTGTGGCTCGGCATGCCAGTGATAATCACCATAGGAAACCCTCTGGGCCTCAGGCTCCACTGCATTCTGGCAGGATGAGCATTTCTGGCAAGAGGTAGGAAATAATGATGTCAAGGTTTTTTTTAAGTTAAGTTTCAGATATCTAGGTTTTCCACAATTCATTTTAAAATTATTATTCAAACTCTTCAAGTTTCTATATTATTTCTATGTAGTTTCTTCCCCTAACAGCTTTAGCCTCCACTGCAGTCAAACTATGTATGTATGTGGTTTAAACTATACGGTGTCCTCATGGTGCCTAATTAATACCTGACACGTTGAAATATGTTTCATTTAAAAACTTTTTAAAAATGCTTGGCAGCACAGTGTAATTACTATCTCAAACAAAAAAGAGATTCCTCAACTCTTACAGGCAAAGGCAAGTATTTGGTTATATGACAACATTAGCTTTGCTGTGGATTATGTTGGAAAAAAACACAGTAAACACACACCAAGCGCTTCACATTCTTGGCTTAGGGTGGCCAGCATATATTCCCCTATCAATTTTTCACAAAGTTTGACTTGGGTGAAACAATTTTGCACGAAGCCCTAAGAATCCCTAAGTAATTTGCTTTGGTAACAAGTAAAATGCTATAATCATTGTTGGTATGTTATAATGTCCTCCAAAAAAAAAGTGATCAGAGTGAAATGTGACAATCTTCTATTTTTAACATTTGTTTTTTAGATCAAACCATAACATTCCACTGTGGCGTCCAATATAAGATGTCGTTTTTCTTGTTAGAGCTCATTAGGGTGTTTAAGGCCAAAAATATGCACTCAAGACTCTGAATTCTGGTATGGCTACAGCTCCTTGCTAACAAATCCTTCAAGTTCAATTGCACTAATCAGCCAAAACAATATGACCTTCTACCTGGTGTGCTCATTTGTGTGCAACAAAACAGCTCACTGCTCTAGAACTTCAAAGGTACCCCAAGACATCAGCACCATAATTATTCTTATAGTATTGTATATAATGAGCTGTAGCCTCTGCATATCAGACTTGCTGACTAGTGGCCATATTCAAAATGTTGATTACGCAAACAGACTACCCACTTATGTTCTACTGTATCCCAGACCATCACATGCATCTCTGAGAGGTCATAATGTTATGGATCATTGGTGTATTTAAACCAATGAGCCAATTAAAGAAAGACACCCAGAGCAACAAAGACTTACCACAGCATAGTTCTTCATGTAGCAGGGCTTGCAGACAGGCTTGTCATTCTCCATAACATACGTCTCTCCAGCCAGAATGCAGTCACATTCAAAACAGCAGAAATGCTTCAGATGCCAGTTCTGGCCCTCAGCCTGAGTGTACTCGTTACTGAAGATCAGCTGTAAACAGACATGCATCAGAATGTAGCATCAACGGTGCTAACAAACTCTCAGCTATGAATGGCCACACAGATGTGTATGTAATGCAATTTTTTTTTAACCAAAATCAAAAGAGAAGCAAATGATCATATCCTCATCTCACCTCATCACAGCCTCCACATCGTGGCTTCTCGCTGTCTCCATAGTGCCGTCCACAGTACATCTTGCCTTTCTTCCAGAAGTAGATCATGTCCACCAGCAGTTCGTTACAGGTACAGCAGACGAAGCATGCTGGGTGCCACATCTTGTCATAACCGGCCCGCTCAGCATAGACAGCTGGCTCACCCTTACGCATGGGCTGCTGGCACTGATGGCATGACTTTAAGGGAAAGTACAGTACATTGGTACGGCTGTATAGTTCATTATGAAAATATATTCTATTGATATTTTATTATATAGAAGAAAGAAAAATCAGAATAGTTTGTTACATCCTGTCCTGAATAGCTTTTATTACAACCCATTTGATTTGAACAAACTATCACTGCACAGTATTTCATAACAAGTTTCCATGAATGATAACTTTGCTCTTTGAATGTTGTTGGGTTTGTTTTTATTTTACATGAATTGTAGTAAAATTGAAAGCAGGATGAAATAAAAATCCACAAAAAGAATTAACTGCACATGGTAATAATGAGAAAAACTCAGTAGTGCATGAGTAGTGACTCATGCACTACTGCATTAAATAAGAACCCAGCATCCTCAAATGGGATGGTTGGTCTATGGCTCCACCTAGTGTTAAGTTTGGAAATGACTAAAAACTGATAAATAAACCAAGTCATACAAAAGTTACAGTTAATAGATTTGAACTTAGTCAAATGTATTAACTTGAACTATGGCTATTTACATATTCTATTAAAAATCTATTTTTCATATATTACCAGCAATTCATCACATCTTTAAAGAAACATTTTGTGCATGATTTCTAAGCTGAAGACATCAAAGGGTTTCCAGATGAATGGGATAAGCAGAAAGGGAAGAAAATGTGAAATTATAGAAACATTATATTATAAAGGTGTGTACACACAGGAAATAAACTAGAAAACCACTAAATGAAACTACAACATGTGTAATTCCCCCATTTGAGGGTACGCTAGAAGATAGGAGGGGAACAGGTATTCTGACCATGTTTTATTTTATTCATGATATTATAATGATATATATATATTTTTTTTAAATCAAGTTCCTCTTAAAATTATTGTCTCCATCTATTAACTAGATGTCAAACATATTATTGCGTTCTTGAAATTTGTTCTATTGGTAAAGACTTTCATCTTGTATTATGCAAAACTGTGAGTGAGGATTTATTTATTTTTGCTTTGTATGTTTTCCTCCCATCTGTTATAGTGTGACATGTCATGTGTTTACCGTATACATTTTTATTTAATTTAACTTTAGTACAAATGGTCAGTGAACTGAGGGAAAAAAACTTACAAAGTTCTGTTGTGGTAGTCCAGCTTGCTGAGCTCCAGGGACACTCATGGCTCCAGCGGTGGCAGTAGTACCCATGGCTCCTCCAGCTGGCCCAAAGCCTGCAGATGGTCCAACGCCAGGCCCTGAAAGTGGTCCACCACCAGCTCCAGCTCCACCAGCTGCAGGTCCAAAACCACCACCAGCTCCAACTCCACCAGCTGCAGGTCCAAAACCACCACCAGCTCCAACTCCACCAGCTG